GCGCAGCGCCTTTCAGAGCTGTGCCCATGTGCGTCTGCCTAGTGCTGGCGCCCCATGGCCGTCCCGCGCCGCCCGCACCAGCTGCGCGCCCCTCGCACCACCAGAGGCAGCCGCATATCCACTCACGCCGCGACGCGCGCCGCAGCACACCTCACCAGCACACCTGCGCCTTTTTGCGCCCTGTGCAGGCTCTGCAGACTGCTTCTGGCATCTCATAAGCGGCTGTACCAGGACGCGCCGCGAGTGCGACGGCACCGCGCAGGCCCAGGCGCGCACGCACGCCCGCACGCGCGCGCGCGCGCGCGCGCGCTTCCGCTCTCTGCTGCACAGACTGCCAGCCTGCACACACAGCATACAGCACCATGTGCACGCATACGCCTGACGATGCAGCCCGCACTCCACAACAATAGCCTGCCTCACGCCTCACCACGCCACCCCGCGCTCACACCGCCAACAGCCCGATCAGAGAAACTGCAGCGCGCGCCTCTGCACGCCTGCAGTCTCTCTGCACTCTGAGCCGTCTCAATCCACCCCGCCGCCGCGCCTCCCCGGGCACACCGCAGCGAAGATGTGAGTCGAAGTATTGGATATCGGCCGAGCCTGCGCCTGCCGCACACAGTTCTTTTTACTGCCAAAGCATAAAAAGAAAAACACGAGGGCGACTTGCACTTTGGTCTTTCGGGACTTTGCACTTTGCACTTCTGCACTAAGCGCAAAGGCCACACAAAGAAGTCACTGTGAGAGTCATTTTGTTGAAACAAAAGAGAAACGATTTATCACCTTGACAAACAGCGACGACCAGCAGCAACGACCTAGAGCAGCGTCCTGCCGAGTGTGTGTAGCACCGACGCAGACGCACCCCAGGCACTACACTACGACGGCTAGGCAGACCTCACCAGTCCGATAAGGATCAACTGGAAGGTTGAACCTCGAGCTTAGACAGAACGGGCGCGACAGACTCCAGGGGAGATCGCGCTCTACTCGGGGCACCAAGGAGGAAAACCGAAACCGTTTGGGTGCCCCACAACAACCCAAACGCCACAACCCAAGCGTCACACCTCCCCCCCACGTCCCCCCCCCCTTGGGGACGTAGCGCACGCCCTTGCTCGGAGAGAGTGGGGGGGGAGGGGGGGTGGGGGAATAGGAGGAGCCAACGAGCACGGAGTAAGGTCCACAGTAGAGAGGCAGGCATTTAAGGCGTAACTTCACCCTCGCTCACCTCGAGTATATCTAGGCGCCCTGGTGCAGTCGGTCTTCGGATCAGCGGCCAGCTTCCCATCTAGGGCAGGGAACCCCCAGCGACGCTAGTGTGGCCTACGGTAGCCATAGCTTGTACGCGATCCCGGGGCAGGGGGGTGTGGACTCTGGAGCTCCAAGAGAGGATAGAGAGAGGAAGGGAGATTGGTGTGCCGGTTTTTTGAGCTAGCAATTTTTTTTTTCAGGCGCGCGGGGCATCCACCGGGTCGCTCGACCAGCGATCCGAAGAGTGGCCGCTATGCGAAGGAAAGAGCGGGGCCCTCGGGGTACGCCTCCATCCGGCCCCCTCCGAGGGGGGAAGGGAACTGCGGGGTCCCCACGGGCGCCTCAGTTCGGCCCTCCCGAGGGGGGGAGGGGAGCAAGGGGGTGGGGGGATCGGGGTGGGGGGGAGGGGTCTCGGTTTCATGTGGCTAAAACTTGCCTTTCGGGGAGGGGCCTCGGGAAAGGCGAGCGCAGTGGCGCGCGCCCTACGTAATCCCCTCCTCCCCAGAGGCAGCGAGTAGGCAGCGAGAGGAGGTCTCGAGCGCCTATATGAAGGTATGAGGTTGTCCCGCACACGCAGCGGCCTATCCCGAAACAGAAGATCCACCTCTCCAGCGGCAAACAGCCACAGGGGGCTAGAGAGAGGCGCCAATTTTGAAATTGCCCGAGACAGCCTGGAGATGGCCCCGCGTTGTAGCCCCGGTGCCGGCGCCTCACATCTCAGCATTCCGGGGCCGGTTCCGCCGCGCAGTCGAGCAGCAGGATCTCGGGAACAGCTTTGTCGACAAAGACCTTGAGCAAAATTTCGGCGAAGAAGCGTCACCGGCGGCACGCCGGGATGAATCCGCACCGATCCCATTGTTCGGCACCGCGACGGCGAGCCGCCGCGGGCCCACAGGAGGGCTCGGAGCCGCGGCACCGGTCCGCGCCGCCAGCAGGGCGAGAGCACCAGCCTACAACCTGCCGACATGGCAGTTGCGACGGCGCTTTCACACACACACACACACACACACACACACACACACACACACACACACACTCCCTCCGACGGGACTAAGGGCGGCAGGGGAGCAAGGGGGGTGTGAACCCGCTTATTTCGTCCTTCCTCGCGCCTTCAATGCCCGGCAGATGGCTCGCGCGATCGCGCTGCTCGTCGCGTCGTCGCTGCTCCCGCTGGTCGCGGGGCAGGCCGCGCAGCAGTGGCTCGACACTCTGACTCTGCACTCGGCTCGGCTGGTGCTGCGGCTGTCGACGCTCGCCGATGGAGACGACCCAGTCGGCGGCGGGCAGAAAATGTCAATTGTGCTCACCGAGGCGGCTTGCTTCAACATTCGGGTGGGCCACGGCCATGGCGAGACTGCCCTCGACTCGCACGTCGAGTTTGGAGGCGGCGCAGCCACAGGGGCAGCGGCAGGCGCGGACGGCGGCAGCGGTTCAATCAGCGGCTGGACGCAGCTAGTGGTGGCGTTCCGCGAGGTGGACTTCACCTGCCACTTTGGAAGGGTGGAGGGGTTCGACGGCTGGACCGAGCCGGTGGGCGGAGAGGACGGCGTCAGCCTGCAGCTCCCAGCGGCCAAGCTGGGCATCGTCCACACGCTCGTGATCGGTGACCCGGCAGAGGAGGTGCGTACAGTACCACGCACACGCCTCCCCCTCGGGTGCAGCGTGGGTAGAGGCGGATGCGCACGTGGCGTGCCGCCTCCGCGGCCTGCCGCGCCGCGCACGCGCCTGCTCCTCTCCCAATCTCGCCCTCCTCGCCCTCGCCCACTCTCTCTCTCCCTTCTCCTGGCTTCCCCGTGTGTGTGCCGCAGGTGGAGCTGTCGGTCAAGGACGTCGCTGGCGAGATCGCGCTGCAGGTGCACACAACACACCTCACCCCACCCCCACCCCCACCCCCACCCTTACCCTCACTCACCTTGCCCTCACCCTGACCCTCACCCTCACCCTCACCCTCACCCTCACCCTCACCCTGACCCTCACCCCTCACCCCTCACCCTGCCCCTGCCCCTGCCCCCGACCCCGACCCTGACCCCGACCCTGACCCCGACCCTGACCCCGACCCTGACCCCGACCCTGACCCCGACCCCGACCCTGACCCTGACCCTGACCCTGACCCTGACCCTGACCCTGACCCCGACCCTGACCCCGACCCTGACCCCGACCCTGACCCCGACCCTGACCCTGACCCTAGGTGCACGTCGACGCAGACTCGATCCCGGAGCGGCTCTCCGCGCCCTTCGCACAAGTGACCCCTCCCTCGGACCGGATCGCCATCACCGTCCACCACCCTAGAAGCGGAAGACGTGTTCTTGTCTCCCAACTAGCGCCCGAGAGGACACGTATTCAGCTGTCTTCACCCGTATTCCGCTGTATTCACTCTGATCTTCTCCCTCGTATTCACGCCGTGCTCTGAAGACGCTGCACAAGACCGTGCTCCCGCCCTGACGTTGGCGTACTCTGCGACTAGGTCCACCACCTCCTCACCGACTTCATCGTCAACACTTTCATCAACTCGTTCGGCGCGCGAGATATGGGGAGATATGGGGAGATATGGGGAGATTCGTCGTCAGCGCTTTCATCAACTCGTTCGGCGCGCGAGATATGGGGAGATATGGGGAGATATGGGGAGATTCATCGTCAACGCTTTCATCAACTCGTTCGGCGCGCGAGATATGGGGAGATATGGGGAGATATGGGGAGATTCGTCGTCAGCGCTTTCATCAACTCGTTCGGCGCGCGAGATATGGGGAGATATGGGGAGATATGGGGAGATTCGTCGTCAGCGCTTTCATCAACTCGTTCGGCGCGCGCCACGGCCTCTCTCCACAAGCCTGCGCAGACACTTCCGAGACACCTCCGAGACACCTCCGAGACACTTCCGAGACACCTCCGAGACACCTCCGAGACACCTCCGAGACACCTCCAAGACCCTTCCGAGACACCTCCTAGACACCTCCGAGACACCTCCAAGACCCTTCCGAGACACCTCCGAGACACCTCCTAGACACCTCCGAGACAGCACCGAGCTGAAAGGTTCTCTTCACCCCCCACCCGCCTCGTCACGCCTGTCCCTCGCGGGCAGGGGTGCTGGTGCAGCACCTCCTCTCCGCCTTCGTCACCGACATGATCGCCTACCTTGTCGAGCAGCAGGGCACCGAGGCGATCCAGGCCCTCCGACGCCTCCTTTTGCCTCAGATCGCCGCCGACCGAGCCGGCAGGTGGCGGCTTCGAGAGTACCCGACAGGACCCGACAGGACCCGACAGGACCCGAGTCCACCACTTGCGCACACACGCACACGGCACCCACGCGCCCTCTGCCTCGCCCCCCTTGCTTGCCCCGACGGCGGCGCAAGTCAGCCCCAGCGCGGCGCGTCTAGCTCACGACCTTTCTCGCCTTCTCCCCACCTCGGCTGCCCCCGAAACCCTCCCCTTCGGCTGCCCCCCCCCCCCCCCTTGAAAGAAGAGAGAGGAGCCCCTGGATAGGTAAGCGAACACCAGGCCCTGCCACAGCCGGCGGGCCGGCAAATCATCGCCGACGGCGGCCGACTGCCGGGTGCCGCGTGACATGATGCTTCGGGCGCGTTATCTTCCGCCGGTGGGCCCCGACGGGAGGGGCTCC